GGAGAAAGAAAGAAACTCAGAAAGGAAACCTGCAAATTTTGTAGGGTATAAAAAAGACAATGGGAAATCTGTACTGTCAGACATGCAAGATTCTGGTAATGTAGCCTTACAATGATGTCAGATTAGCTCCTCTGGTCATGCTTCCAGTCTGCTCTACTTGGGAACTCTGACATCAATTTTGCAAGTCATATACTCTCTTTCAAAGAAAGGAATTTCAGGTATACATCTGATCTGCTATCTTCCGAGTATCTGGAAGCAGCATTGTTGAAACATCAGCATCAAGAAGATACACACATGACCAATTTGCAGACAGCCATGATAAAATTAATAAAACAACTGAGACAGAATTTTACTCAAAAAATAAACATAAAAGTTTTTTTTTAATGAGACACAATGATATGAACCATTTGCTTCTAGAATAGATTTTATATAAAGCTAAAGTTTGGTAAAAACACACACACACACACACACACACACATACTATCACATATTTTGAACATGAAATTTTCCTCTTAGGATATTTCTGAAGGCACCCCTTACTTCCTGGTTCCTCATGCTGTAAATTAATGGGTTGAGCATGGGGGTCACCATTACATAGAACACTGAGGCTATCTGGTCTAGATTATAATTTGGTCTAGAGCTTGGCCGTGCATACATAAAGCTAAAACATCCATAGAAAATGGTGATGACCATGAGATGAGAGGTACAAGTGGAGAAGGCTTTCCTACGGCTCATGGCAGAGTGCATCTTTAAAATAGTAACCAAGATATAAGTGTAGGAGGTGAGAATAGTCAGATTTGTTGTTATTAAATTGAAGCCAACAAATACAAACATCAGCAAGTAATTAAGACTGATATCTGAGCAGGAAAGAGCTAAAAGGGGAGGACCCTCACAATAAAAACTCTTAATGATGTTTGGGCCACAGAAGGACAGCCTAGTTGCAGCCATTGTGTGAATGAAAGCATTAATGATCCCAGCAATGCAGGAAATTGTTATCAGCTGAACACACTTTCTTTGGGACATTATCATCAAGTAGAGTAGAGGACTGCAGATTGCCACGTAGCGATCATAGGCCATCACAGCTAGGAGGTAGACCTCTATGGTGCTAAGTAGCGCATAAAAGTAAAGCTGAGTAAGACAACCTCCATAGGAAATAATCTTCTTCTCTTTTAAAAGATTGGATAGGAATTTTGGGGTGACACAGGATGAGTAACAAATATCCAAAAAAGATAAGCTGGTAAGGAAAAAGTACATTGGTGTGTGGAGAGAAGGACTAATTCTGATCAAGATAATCATGCTTAGGTTTCCCACCAGGGTGATGGCATAAACAGCTGAAAATATCCCAAAGAGGATCAGCTGCAACTGTGAGTCCTCTGTTAATCCAGTGAGTATGAATTCTGTCACCCATGTGATATTTCCCATGTAATCACAGTAACACTGTTGAACAACACTTCAGTCAATTTTCCATTGTTTTTCAAATATTTGTAATGTAGTCTGTGATCAGAGTCAATTTTTAACTTTCTAGCAAAAGAATGAGAAATTGGAAACATTTTGATAAAGAGCTCAAGTAGTAAAATGATGTTCAGTTCATAGTGAGCAATATCCAAGATGCTTAAATAATATTTTCTTCTTAATTACAACTAGGTTATCATACTTTAAATATTAGTTCAAAGTATAAACTAATATTACTGACTGGCTCAAGGTAGATTCAGCCTTCCATCCTTTCTAAGTTGGTAAAATTAGGACCCAGATTGTTGGGGGGCAATATGGTCATCCTGTAAACCTCTTAGAGAGGGCTGTAAAGCACTATGTAGCATTATATAAGTCTAAGTGCTATTGCTATTGCTAGTTTCTATGCAATGAAATAGTGTGTATTTTCTATGAGTTTGTGGAGTTCACAAGGCATCTCAATAAGGATCAGGGAAAGGTAATCATCTGTGAAGGACACATTGAATATAATCTACTACTTATTTTCAAAATAGTTCAAACCCATGAATGAATTTCTCCACTGGACTATTAAAGACAATTAATAACCATGAGAGTGCTATTGAAATCTTCAAGCTGAGGAACTCTCATCTACATGCTCTATGACTTGTAGAAGCTGATCTTTGTACTACAAGGACTCTTCATTTCTTGAGCTGATTCAATGAATTTTGAATAGCAAAGCCACACTGACTCTTGTGTCATAATTGACTCACCACTGTCAATCATATAGTTATGTGCCTTTCACATTGTCCATTAACATAATCAGCTGCACAGAGAAGCTGTTTTTCATTCCATAAAATATTTGTTTTGTTCTGTTGGGTATATTCTAAAAACTGTTTCTATAAAAAAAATTGGTTGAAGATTCACTTGTGAATAAATATAGTTCCCTTTTCAAGATCATTTTTGTGATGGCAGTACATCTATCTTTTGTTTGTTAGTCTTAGTTGCTTTTTTTGTACCACCCATTACTAAAATCTCATATTTTAAAATAAAAATTTTATATTTTATAAACTTAACACTTTTTTGTTTCATCTCAAAATACCTTATCTTCTATACCCAATGAGTAGATTTATTTCTCACTGAATTTTTAAACGACCTAATACATTATGGGTGTTTTTTTAAAAAAACTGTAGGTCTTGAGATGGCTTGGGGAATCCGTTTGTATGCTTACCATGCAAGCTTCGGCTGGCCCTTCTCTGACCATGCTGTCAATGCACCTTGAAATAATAATAACAAAATTTATATTGCTTTATAAACAAAACATTTATTTTGTTCCATCTCAAAATACCTTATCTTCTATAGATCACTGAACTTTTAAATTTCCTGATACATTAGGGTGGGTATTTTTTAAAAACTGGGGAATCAGTTTGTACACTTACCATGCAAGATTAATCTTGTCTTTCTCTGACAGTTCAGTCAATGCTCTTTGAAGTAACAATAACTTGTCATCCCATGAACTCCTAAAGCAAACTTGCATAAGCAATAAAATACAGTAGTTATATAGTTGCCTTTTTAATTATCAGACTCGCTTGTTTTCTTCCAGCTCAACAGCATCTTTCACATTTTATAATATCTATTTTTTTCAAGCTTCTGATTGCAAAATTTTGAAACTTGTACTAACATCCTTTTGCTGCTTTGAAGAAATTCAGATATTTTTCTTCAATCTTCAGCAACTCAACAGCTTTATACAATTCTGGAGACAATAATATTTCCTTCAATCCTCTTTGGAATGATGGAGAAAAGAACTCTACAGAGAAAAACATTGGTTTGGGAATATCTCCCTGAAGTGCTTCAAACTGCTCCATCTACTGATTTGTGTTGATTATACAATGAAGACTCAGTAAACTAAATCACAATTGCTTGAAGTATTTACCAATGGAAAATGCAGTATTCAGTAGAGATCACTTTCTATCCTCTTTGTTATATATTAATAGTATTTTATCATAGATTTTTTCCACACAATAATTTACTTCATGTAGACCCAGAATGCCTTTCAAAAATGTGGCTTTTATTATTAGTAAAATAGAAAAATATATTAACAAAGCTGTTCAAAATAGTAATAGAATCATTCAGAGAAAATATTTAAAAAATCTATGCAGAGTTGTGGAGCAGTGATTTTAAAGATTATTAAATAATGGTGTGATCATTTTGGTGAGTTGAAATCTGTTTATACGGTTCCTGTGGAATTGGTTTAGGCATTGTCTTTCGTGATTATCTAGGAAAAAAACTGAACCTTTTAATCTTGTGTAAGTGCATAGGATCCTTGATACTGTGGGTGTATACACTTGTATTTTAGATCTATGCCCCTCCTGATCAGTGAAGTCCTTCCCAGATGTGACATTTGACTGAAGGCTGAATCTAAGCAGTGGTGAATTCTTCTTCAAGAGAGGGATTAGTTGGACCTGCACTTAGAAAGACTGTGGTCTGTACTTTCTGGGGCTCTGGAGATTGTGTTTGGAAAGGAGAGTCAGCTGATCTAAACCTCAGCCTCCCTATAGAGGGGAGACCAGGTGGCACTTTTCTGGAAGTGAGCACCATTTTGAAGCAATCATAAATTCATTCCAGCCACTCCCAAAATGGCACCTGCTTCCAGGACAGTGCCGAATAATTTAGATAACGAGCAAGCCCCTGAATTGGAGGACCCCCACCTCTTCCTCCTAGGACTGAGAACAAGGTTTGAGGACCCATCCATTGCCCTCAAAGCAGAAGAACAAATCCACAAGGTAAAACAGGCCGGCAGGCCTGCTCTGGAGTATGTACAAGAGTTTCACAAGATACCTGGTTGCATAGAGAGGTGGCCTGAGCATTCCCTAGTCCACCACTTCAAAGAACGGTTGGACAATCACCTCTCTCAGGCATGCATCTATTGAGCAGTACCTGATCAGCTGCAAGAGTGGTACCAGACAGTGGTAAGACTAGACGTCCAGCTCGCCCGCGATAAGAAGCCTCCCCCATCTGAAGCCTGTTGTGGCTCCGTCCGGTGGGTCCCTCTCATCAGAGGAGGAAGGCTCTGAACATGAAGGAGAGGAGATGGCCAGGCCTCCCTCTCCAGGCCCTTCCCCTCTGGTGCGGCCTTCGGTGCCTTCCGACGGAGAGGAGTTTGGCCAGGAGCCCGGTGTTTCTGGGATTGGCCAGGAGCCCGGTGCTTCTGGGATTGGCC